TGCTCATTGCAGCATTTTCCTCCCAGCCTGCTTCACTTCCTGCACTGGAGCCTTGTGGGGAGGGAATACAGAAATAAAACTGCCTGAGTCAACAGAGGTTCAGGGGCAGAAGGGGGACAGGGCTACAAGATTTGCAAGGAAACCATTGCAAAAGGAGATCCTCCTTGATTCTCCACCTACACTTGGAAGTAGCACGACCCATTCTGCCACCGCTGCCGCCTCCTTTCCTTGCACATGAGAACCAGTCCTGGACTGGAGACTGTTGCTGCAACCTGGCCGGGATTCCTACTGCACCATCAATACTGAGGCAGTGTTACTGGGGCTCAAGGTTTGGACTCCATTTGATCGGATGCAACCTTCAGTTGGGTGTGTGTGTGTGTGTTAGGGTTACTATACTTTGAAAAGCTAAAAAGAGGACATGTTTACTAATTGATAGATCAAGATGGGTAGCTGTGTTAGTCTGTAATGGTAGAAAAGAGCAAGAGTCCAGTAGCACCTTAAAGACTAACACGATTAACAGATTTGAGCAGATGGACAAATCAGAGGGTAAACACAGAAAAGAGGTGCTCTGAATTTACACAGCAGAGCCAGGGACCCTGCCCACCCACCCAAAGGAAAGGAGGACCTGGGGTAATTTGGTGGCCACTCACAATAGCTGCAATGTGAGCCAGCACACAGACAAAAGTTAGAGAGTATTCATAGGACATTTCCAGTCATTCAGTTTTGCCATTCAAGAGTGAACTCTTTTTCAGTCCCTTCTACAACTTTCTCAATGCATCTCTCCAAGTGGCACAGGCTGCAGAAGCATCCTGGGTGTAGGACCCCTGTCTGTCTGTGTGTTACTTTCAAGAAGATGAGTTAATGATTAAGGAGATTTTATTTTGGGGCTCTGCTACTTGCAGATTTTCAGCATTCCTTTCATTCTGGGAAACTGGTATGAACTTCAGCTCCAAGTTTGGACTGTGTACAATGGATTTTAGGGTGTGTGTTTGTTAAAGAGGGGAGTTCTTCCTTTGGAGTGCAGAGACAAATCAAATGGGGGCATATAAAGTGACATTTCGCCAGAGGAGTCCGTGCTCCAGAAGCACGTTTTTGCAGAGTGGTGTTGCCACAAAGCTGTGGATCTGTGATTTTTGCAGTTCAAGCAGTTGGCATGGACATGTTATGTGTTTTGATGGTGTGTTTGGAGTGACCCAGTACAAAAACCTTGAGGATCCATGGGGATCTGTGCTTCAGAAACATGTTTTGGCTTCATGGTGTTGCCACGAAGCTGTGGATCCATGATTTCTGTGGTTCAAGCTGTGCCCGTGGACATGATATGTGATTTGATGGCAATGTTGGGGTGACACAATTGGAAAACCCTGAGGATCCATGAGGATCCGTGCTTTGGAACCATGTTTTTGCACTTTCGTGGTACCACGGATTCGTGGAGGCATTTGTAGTGGTGCCTATAGTCTAAGACATGGTGTACAGTATGATGTTGGTTTCATTTCGTTTCAGTGTAAAAATCATATGAAATCATGAGGATCTATGCTTTGGAATCATGTTTTCACATGTTTGTGGTGCCACAAATCTGTGGATTTATGATTTTTGTGGTGCCTTCTATAGACCTGCACATGGCCTACAGTATTATTGTAGTTTTATTTCATTTCAATGTAAAAATCATATGAATTCATGAGGATCCATGTAGATAAGACTTTTACCCAGACCCCTTCTTACTGGTGCAAGAAAGCACAAAAGAGCCCTCAGTGGTGATATGATATGATATGATAATGGCAGAAGCTCGCCAGTTGGGAATACCTTGGAGATTTTTGGGGGGTGGAGCCTGAGTGGTGGGTGTCGCCTTCTGACACATTTCCGGTGATGTCAGAGGGGAGTTGCCATCTGACACACTTCTGGTGATTTCAGGGGGTGTGACATATGCAAATGAGTTATGCTAATGAACTCCTGCACCTCTTTTTCTACGAAAAGACCCCTGCCCGGGGGCAACTGGTTCCAGCCACCCTTGCTCCTAGCACAGCAATGCCTCTGGCCCAGCCCCAGCCCCCCCCGGAAAATTGGAAAGTCTACACCCCTGGCTGTCCCCACCACCCACCCCGCTTTCAAGGAAACCCTTCTTCTTCCCTAAAATACTCCCACTGTGATTTCACCAAGGTGAGAAAAGAGAAGCTTAAAACTACTTTGTCACTTTGAAGCTGAGGGGTCCCATTGCATCAAAATCAACCTCCCTCCCAAACATACATCATTAAAACTACTCTGTCACTTTGAAGCTGAGGGTTCCCATTGCATATGTGACAAGGTCAGAGACCAATTTCTCCTTTGTCTTCTCAGATTACCTCATTGCCATACTAATTTTACCTTATTTATTTATTTACAAAAATTATGTGCCATTTTTCTGCCCTTACAAGGGTTTCCAAGGCAGCTAACTATTTAAAACATACATAATAGAATTATATTATAGAACCATCAAAATCAACCTCCCTCCCAAACATACATCATTAAAACAATCTTAAATAGTTAAATGCTTGGCCAACAGAACCTGTTCTCCTCTAAATTTAGGGATTGTTCCAAATGCAAATCTTCCAGCTGTATATCTTTATCAATTTATAGCTCCAAATTTGCGCAGAGCCATCTCCTTGGCCAGATTTATTGTTCTTCCTTCTGCTCGTCTCTCTGCCAGATTCCAGACTCCAGCAGGTGTTGTCCTTGTAAGAAGGACTGTGTTGAAACTGTCCCCCATATTCTCCTTCAATGTCCCTTTTATCTGGTGCCCCGCCAGGATCTTCTGTATCCTGTAACTCAATTCTCAGAGATTCCTGACGATTTTAAGGTTCTGTTTTTGCCTGATAATCAAGATATGGAAATAACCGAAATAGTAGCAAGGTTTCTTCTTAGTGCTATGGCTATACGTTCTGATAAGTAACCATCAGGTTTTTCTGCTTTCATGCTGTTTTTCTGCGCCATAGCTCCAATTTTACCCTATATGGATTTGTATTTTCTGATCTATATTTAAACTGATCTCCTATTGTATGTATATACGTATGCCAATAAAGGCTTGTCAAAGTAAGTAATAGTTAAATATC